GATTGCTACATTTTAATGTGTAGGGCTCAAAGTGCAACAAACAATAAAGATTGGGGGCTTCCGTCTAAACCAAGTTCACCACATCAATTCTCTTCTTAGTCAATTTGTACAGTCATAAGAGCCATGAATTTTGCCTAAACTCTCATCCAAATCCTCTCCATGTTCTATGCTCTCTCTAAGCATTATCCTTTGAGACATCCTTCTAAGGTATTTTAAGGTTACTATATATTGTTATTTACATTTCTCAACGGAAAATAAAAAAATTAAAATCTTGTCCTGGTTGTGTTTGGTCATGTCATTTGTCTACCAAACATGCATTATAAAAGTTACAACCCAGATTCTTCAGCAAACTCGAGGTTGATGTTGAGCTTATGTTACTCATTACATATTTCTACATGTACGCTCAAATCGATCTAATAATATCACAAATATGGATCGTGTGGCAAAGCTTATGCTTTTACTTTATGTCAACTTTCTCTAAAAGTTCTTTGAGTCAATTAATGCACTTTTGGAAAATTATTCAAACGTGTTTAAAAGCAATTTTTTAATTTCAAAAGCTGCTAGGTTTGAGACTTTTGCTCTTGATTTTTACTCACTCTCTTTAAGAAGTAAGCTTTGTACGTTTTGCATTATAGTGATTATCGTTACCTTGTTTGTCTTTTTACCAGCTAACATGCAGGTTGAACTCATCTTTTTAACTTGTTTGTCTTTCTTGCAATTCTTTTCTTCAAACATACCATGACTTTTCAATTCCATTATTTGTTTTCAGCCGGGGTGCATGTGCTACCAAACAATAGCAGGAGTGATTCAACATATTCAACAAGTGAAACGAATTCTAATTGGTACAAGGAAAGGACTCCAATAATGAAAAAGTATGAGATACAAACGGCGAGTGCGTGAAGAGGAAACGTAGAGTATTTTTATGTTGGTTGCAAAGAAAATTTGGTAGGTTTCATATACCAAAACAAGAAAACAAATGAAAGGGTTCCAAGATATCCTATCATGGTAAATCTATTGTACTGTAAGTATTTGGAAGATTAGCTATAAAATTGCAAGATTGATGTAAGATTATTGCGATATATCACTCAACACCACCGCCTTTACACATTTAAGTGGAATTGACCATCATTTAAGTTGAAATAGAATTTGAATTAAATTTTTATCCATCATTTAAGTTGAACAAAACAGTGGCTAAAGAAACATAATTTAGTCTGCAAAATTGTTTGTAGTTTCCTATTTTTCTTATCTCGAAGGCAAGATTTCGAATCCTCCTATCACAATCTTAATTTTTTTTCCCTTTATTTGTACAGTAAATCTCCGAAATCAAGCTTTTCGACCTCATCTTTTATGTTTCGTTTCCATATTTCATTAGTTTTACACAATTTCATTAGCAATAGTGTTACATTGTCCTCGTGCTAGATCTATGAGCTAATTTTTGGGCGATAAAATTGACAAAACAATAGTTTTACATAACCTACCGTTGACCATTTTAATTTTTGAAGAATAGAAAAAAGATATTTTAAAAGGTGAAAATAATTTGTAAAATTCTTTTTTCAATTAAATTGATTGGAAAGAAATAATTTTGAAAATGGAAAATTTCATAAGTAAGAGATTTAGTTTCACCAATTTCAAATTTAAGACATAAGGTTTAAAATTTCAAATTTCAAATCCCAGATTTTTTTTAAATTTTTATTTATAAATTAATTAATTAAACATATATTTTATTAATTAAATATATTAAAGTCACAATTTCATATGATTTGGTCACAAATTCTATATAATTGGTCACAAATCACAAATTTTAAATGTCATAAATTATTTTACGGTCACAAATCAAAAAATGTATAGGTCACAAATAAAAAAAAAATTGAAACGTTACAAATTATTTTACGGTCACAATTCAGAAATTTTATAGGTTACAATTTGTTCGTCGATCAAATAAAATAATTGAAACATTACAACTTATTCATCAGTCACAAATCACAAACATTATAAATCACAACTGAGTAGAGAGTCACAAATTATCAAATTATCGATCACAAATTAACAATTTTTTAGGTTAAACAATATTTATTAGTCACAATTTACCAAATTTTGAGTAACAATTATAAAGTTAGTCACAATTACACATTCCAAGTCACATATTAATTGTTGGTTACAAATTAACAATTTATTAGTCGCACCACCTAGATAATTGGTCACACTCACTCCCAACCCAACCAAAACTCAAGAGTAGCCCCCACCAGAACCACCACTTACACCTCCACCAACACCAGTAGCATCATCATCACCTAACCACAACCACCACCATCTCCATCTCCATTGTCACCACGGCTAGCGCCACCGCAACCGCTATCTCCTCTATCTCTATCTCCATCTACACCACACCACACCACACCACACCATAACCACCACCCCCACAAAAAATCCACAAACTCGTTGCCGCCACCCCTGCTTGTACCACCACCTCAAAAATCAACACAAAAATGCAGCAAAATCACTACAAAAAACCACAGCAAATCGATAGAAAAAATCTCAAAAGACCACTGAAATCGCTGCTATGATCCCATCGTAGATGCTAGGTAAATGTAACACTGAATAATCCAAACCCAGAACCACTACATCGTGCCTCAACTTCACCCACAGAGGCCCAATTCGCGGGCGTTGCGCTTCCACGAACAGAAGCGCAACGCTGCGCTGCAGCTGTGCGATCTGTGGCTGCGTGCAATATCGAAGCGATATGTGGCTGCGTGCCTCTGATTGTTAGAACTTTATTAAAACTTAAACTTTATGATCTTGCCAAGATCTTCATGTCAAATCATCAAGAAAACTGAATTAACGCGGAACATACCTTAATCAATTGATTTCTGACTTGATTAATGAATCTTGAATCTGGATCTGTAAATCTTCAGTTTGGTTGCTTCAAATCTGCATCTTAATTCCTGATTGTGGGTTTTATGGATCTTCC